AGGCCTGCATATATTAGTTGAAACATTCCAATTGAAATCCCATAGATTCCTAGGGCTCCCCCACCCCCAATTATTGTCAGTGCAGCTTGAACTTCGTCATTCCTTACCATTGGCTAGTGTTTATATGGTACTTCCTGAAAAATTTCAGTGTCAACTAATTCTTTTTTTTTAATTGGTTTGTGTGTGTGTGTGTGTGTGTTCAAATTAAATCTGACTGGCACGGGAAGAGATTGCCCCTCCCTCTCCAGCAGAGCAACTGGTAGATTTGAACTACACACCTTCAGCATTGCAGTGCAACTCTTTGTCACTAGGTCACCAGAGCTCCCTAACCAATTATTTTTGATTCAGTGACTCTGTGTATTTCTTCTGTCTTCTTTTGATGCATCCTAGATCATTCAAGATTTTTTCCATAGCATTTCTTGGTATTGCAACACAAGGCTTGAATTTGTTTTTTAGTTCTTTAAGCTTGATAGACGGTGAGTGAAGTCTTCCCTTTTTATTCTCCAACTCCAGTTCTTTACACATTCCTGCTTCTTCAGTTGCCCTTCGGTTCATCTTTTACTACTATGTTTCTCCATCTTGTTGTGGCTTTTGGTGCTCTGCTACAATTTTCAGAGTCTCTTTTGGCCTCTATTTTGGTCCATAAGGTGTGCCTGACCCAACCCAAGGCATTTACAATTGCTTCATATGCATGTAAAAGTTGGACAATGAATGAGAAAGAATGAACAAGAAATTATGCCTTCGAATTATGGTGTTGGTGAAAAATACGTGTCATGGACTGCCAAAACAGCAAACAAATCTATATTGGAAGAAGTGTAGCCAGAATACTCCTTAGAAGTGAGAATGATAACTATTTCATTTCACATAATTTTTGCATCTTATTAGGAGGAGGTGGTCTCTAAAGAAGTATGTAATACTTGGAAAAGTTGTTTTTGTTGTTGTTAGGTGCTGTTGAGTTGAGTATTATCTATAGCAACTCTATGAACCAGGGTGTCATTCATTTAGGTACGTTGTTGTTGTTGTTATGTGCCATCGAGTC